AGTGAATCGCGTTCTTGTCTTAAAAGCTGGATGATAGTGGCTTTTAATTTAGCAGTTTCATGCTCTGTTTATTAACAGCCTCAGTTGCTGTGGGGGAGAGGTAATCTTGACCAGTTTAGTCGCTGGAGAAAATGGCTGGTCATTAATGCAGCTAGTCAAAACCTCCCCTTGGAAAATGCTGTTTTAAATAAAAATATTTGTGCAGAAATGTATCTATTCCATCAGATTTTTTAAGGAAAAATTGAAACATTTCACTTCCAATATGGCTTATTTTGACTTTCCAGTTTCATTTAATTATAATAATGAAGTATTTTCACTTTATGGAATTAAATGTGTTTGATTATTTCATTTAATGAAGAAATTTCTCAAAATTTCCCGTGAAAGAAAGAATTGCACTTTTGACTAGCTTTTCTGTTTCACGAGAAATAATTTGTCATTTAAGGATATGACCTGTTTGTTCTGTCTGTCATGGTTATATGGTTTTGCTATGACCGGACAGGTGTTGCCAGACTGAAGGACTTGACTTGAAAGGAAATTCTTCTCTTTCGATGTTATGGATTAAAATCGTGGTACAAGAATATTTGTGAGAATAACCTTCATTTCCTGGCCCTTGGGTAGTTAGAAAAGGCTAAATATGATCATCATCTTTCTTGGGCCATACTCCATCTGCTGTGGTAGTTAACAGGTTAACCCTCTGGTTTCAGTTTTGAGAGTGAACAAACTTGAGGAATTTTAATTCCTAATCTGAGTCCCAAATGTCAAAACGAGTTAATTGGCATAATGCGATACTAAGGCAGATGCAGTTTGCACTGAAAAAATCAGTCAGTGGGTGGCGTTTGGCCGTGCAAATAAGGGAGGAAGAACTTTGTCGCAGGAAGTTGCTGCCTCTTTCGGTCAATTAATCTGCCCTGGGTGAATCACCGTGAGGATTTCAGTGGTCGTTATGGTTTGGCTACTGTAAGCGGTGGCACACTGCAGACCGTAGTACAAGCGCGGCTATGACCAACATTGCTAACGTTAAAAACTCCAGCACTCAGTGTTTTAGTTAGTTGCTCAGACTTCTTCTGGATGGAGGTCTTGTTTGGCAGCAGACAGAACACGGACTGGCGGCAGGGCAGGCGCCGAGTGGCACTTGCTCCCTGCCACTGCCCCAAGTGTTTTCCCTTCCTTTATCCTTTTCATGAAGGACTGTAGAGTTCCGGTATTTCATGATGTGCTGTGAAAGCTTTTGCTGCCAGATCACCGCTTTGAATGCAGCCTAGACCAAAGAGTATTTAAAAACCCCGTTGATATCCAGGGTTTTTCCAGGGGCTGTGGTTCACAACGTGGTGGCTGGCATCCCACTCCCGCTGGACAGTAGTCCAGCTTCCGAAATGTCGCCTTTGGCAGATGTTAGGGAATACAGAGTTCATGAAGCCTGAACCATCATTTCTCGCCTAAATGTTCACTTTTACATCAAAATATTTACACTGGCAACGTACTGTAGGAAAGCACTGGTATCACGTATGCTTTGTGGAGAAATAAGGACTTGAGTGTCCAGAGCGAATTGCATGGCACCTTTCAAAATATCTTTATGACTGTAAAAAAAAAAAAAAACCAAACCCAAAACTTTTTAATTTTTTTCTTTTTTCACCTTTTTTTGATTTTTTTCTTTTTGTAACACCCATAAATTGCCTGAAGAATCTGTTTGAGGAGTTCAATTTATTTTACCTTTTAAACCTGAGAGATAGGAGGAAAGCTGAATAAAAACAATGCATTCCTTTGAGTTGCGATTGTGTTTTCTTTGTGGATTTAGCACATAGGAGAGGGGGTCATGCAAATTTGCCTTTCGTCCATTTGTGCGGTCTCGTAGCGGCTGCTTAAATTCACTCCGGCTGCCCTGGAAGCCGTTTCCTTCCTAGTGGTGGTCGCAGAGACTCGGTTCCCACCGGTGTTAGGCAGCCGACCTACCTTCCCAGCTCCACCACCGGACCTGACGGGGATTCGCAGCCCAGAAACCAGGTGGTGTGGCATTCGGAGGCCGTGCTCTGCCCGGAACCTCCCCGGCGCCCACTCCCTCGGTGCTTCCAGAAGTTTGGGTAGGAGGTGAAGGCGAGGTGTGAGCCAGCTGCTGTGGTCTCTTTGCCAGAATTTCCAGCTTGGGCAATTGAACTGAACTTGCCTAAACTCTGCTTAACGTTTGTTTTTGTTCTTAAACACTTTTCTTTATACGGTTTCTGTGCCCTCCTAAGGCTGCTGTAATCCATTTCAGGCTTGGATCTGTGGCTTGAGATGATTGATGGATCTGTTTTCACATGGCTGGAACAAAAGGCATTAAAATACAGTTTATCTTGAGTAAGATTATTTAAGATACAAATCACGAAAACTGTTAATTTGATTTCTGCTATTTGAAATGTAAAAATATTAGTGAGTTACAGAAATGAGAAATTGCATATGGATTTCCTCTTATAAAAGTTCTTTTCCTCAGAAACAAAAATTTGTATCTGAAAATGGTTGAAGTGGAGGAAAAGAACTATTTGAAGACATACGTTTGGAGACAGATCACTTTATTCCAGACTGCATTTGAATGACTTAATTGCTTGTAGTTACAGAAACTTGGCATATATGAGGAGTTACTCTTCTCTTGCATACTGTTTTCGTGCATACTGCATGAAGTCTAGTTGTTCCAAGCTCACTGTTTAGTTCTAGTTGCATAATTTACATATTTGTGAATATTAACAGAAGATTGTAACGAAGAGTAGCCTGCTCATTTAGAGAATTGCTTCACATTCCCTGCCTCCTGTCCAAGATTTTACATGCTTTCTTTTTAGTGACTAGCTTTTCTCCTCCTCTGGCATTCCCAAAAATTTGCTGGATAAATGAGTATGACTGAATTGATGGACTGACGGTGTATATGAAAAGAAAGTGGCCCCCCCCCCCCCCCCCCCCCCCCAGCTCCAATAAGTTCTGTCAGTGTTGAACTTCTGCCATCTTTGTATTTGAGAAGATAATTTTGAGAAAAATAATTTCTGTTGATTAAAGTGTGGGTTCTGCAGGCAGGTTTGCCACTGTGACCGCTATGAGAGCAATGCTATCTGCTGACAGGGGTTTTCCTGTTGCGAATATGCCTCGGGATAAATGCAGTTAAACACCCATAGTCATCCTCTTCCTACAGAAGGAGATCTTACTTGAAGCTGTTTGTATGTCCTCTGATGTTTTCAATACAGAGGAACCATGTGGTGTCTTGGTGGTGGATTTCAGAAAGTGAATAAACTTTCCTGTTTTCAGCTGACTGTGAACAGCTATAAATACCAGTCACAGTTAAATTAGCTGGGTTCCAAGTCCCCCAGGCAGTAATAACTATCCAGGAAAATTTGTGGCCTGAAGTCTTGCAGTAGATAATGCCTGCCTTAGATGATCTCACTGATAGGAGTGGGATCATTTGAAAATGAAGACTCTTTCTCTTCAGTACAGTCAGCCCGAGGGATCAGTGGTTTCTGCTGTGTGTGGAAGAAAGTGCATCACACGGTATTTGTTAATGGCAGGCTTACCTTTTGAGGGCTTCATATGCAGTTGAGTGTCTTCTATCTGACAGGGATCAAGTGCAGTGTGTAAGAAAAGGTATTCATAGTAATTCCCTGTATTGGTCTCCCAGCCTCCACCCAATCTCAGCTTTGGGGCCTTTTCAGCCAAGAATTTTTAAATCTCTTTAGTAAATTTTAGTGAATTTCTTTTCCATCAACTTGCCCAAAAGTGACCTGAATCCATGTAAGCTGGGGGAAAACTGTAACTTCCTACAGTAAAGAGCTCCATGGCTCAACTTTTACCCGTTGTGTGAAGAACCACCTTCTTTTTTATTTGTAGGTGTGAAGGCATGTTAATTCCATGTAGGTGGAATTGTTTTTGAAGACTTGCTTCCAGAAGCAGAACAATTCCATAGATGCAGTTCTGAACACTAGTAGAGTATGCTTGATTTCTATGTGGAATAGAACTCTTTGCCAGGTCTGGTCTTTTCTTAAAAGTATTTTAAAAGTTTTGAATTTTAAAAAATCTTGAACAGATGCAGGCTTGTTACTGTTTCACAGTGCTATAAATACAGACTTGAATTAACTTCAGGAAAGTTAAATCCCCAAATCAGAAAAGAATAGGCAAAGGCTGAAAGTCTATGCCATGCTATTTATGTAATTGATAAAAAGGTTGGTTTGAGGAAGGCAAGGGAAACGCTGCCTTTTCTCTTACCTCTTGCTTTTCTTTTTGGTTAAATTATAACATAGAATGAGACAGCAGAACTGCTGAGCTTGGAAGCCAGTAAGTGCCAAGGGACAGAATTCTTAATGTAATTGTCTGAATTGCAGGTCAGAACATTACATGGTGAAAACAAACTAGAATCTGCTTGGTCTGTGCTAAAGACAATAAATGAACCATAGTTAAAAACTCCTCTTCTTGTAGGTGTTTTAACAATATTTTCATAGTAACTGTATCTTTCTTCAAACATGAACTGCTTCATGTGAATTTCTTAAAACCAAACCTACTGCTAACTTATGTTTTTGATAAGCTAGTCCCATGAATCTGAAGAATTGATTTGTGATGGAGTATCAATAATCCTTTTCTTTTTCCCTTTCAGAAATGTGCAACGGAAGAATGTTTCTTTTTTGAGCGTTTGGAATCTAATAACTATAACACTTACCGATCACGGAAATACTCTGATTGGTATGTGGCACTGAAAAGAACTGGACAGTACAAACCTGGACCAAAAACTGGACCTGGACAGAAAGCTATCCTTTTTCTTCCCATGTCCGCTAAAAGCTGATTTCCATGGCGGATTCCGAGCACATACGCCACACTACACTAAAGACGTCGAGTTTCCTACTCCTCTCCGAAGCAGCAGAAATACAAGCAATTATTTGCTGATACCAGATTAAAAGATGAATGTTTCATACTGTCTTTATATTGCTCTTTAAACCTATTGTGCCAGTGTGTGTGGAGGTAAAATTACTTGGAAAACCTGTTTTCAGGATGAGTAACACTTCTGTTTTCTGCTAGATCTCTATGTAGAGCTATTTTATTTACTTTATGTTTGCTTTACAGAGTAAAGGAAGACAAATCTGATGCACACTTATAGCAATATTTACCTTTAAAAATAATTTATATCTCTATAGCTTATTAAGGAATAGAGTAAATAATTACTTTCTAATAATTATCTAAAAAGAAGTCCATGGATAATTTTAATATGGTCTAAATAACAATACAATAATAATTCTAAATTATTAACGTAATGAAATGTGAAATGTACTGCTATCATGTAATGTTTCTGTAGGACTCGGGCAGCTCCCTGTGGTACAGTTTGTAGAACAGGCCTGTGTAGACCGCCGGAAACTCTCTCATGGTTATATCAATCTTCTCAAACCCTTCCCGGTATCCGTAAAGTAAGAGTTTAGCTACGTTGCTGGTGATGGGAGTAGTGTGTTTCGTCCTAGCAAGCTCATCGAGGTCCATCCATTCGCACCTCAGGCACTCCTGCTGGCAGAAGCTGATGGTGAAGGAGGAGGGCTCCAGGCGACAGATGATGTACATATCCGACTTCCCAAAGGCTCCGGGGTGTTCGTGTTGCTGTCTTATGCTTAGGATGGACTTGAACTCTGACTTGATGCCAGTCTCTTCAAAAACCTCTCGAACTGCTGTGTCTCCTAGGTGAAAGAGCAATCCTTATAACACATGTAAGAATAGCTTAACACTCTTGAAAACTCTTGACCATGGAAAATCTCTAACTCGAAGCGTTCTCTGTTCTGCTTTGTAAGCTTTTCAAAATGTAAGCCTGTTTGTTTCAACAGAAGGATAAGCTAATTTTTTGCTCCCATGCTGCATGCCTTTCTTGCATATATCCTACAAAATGATGAAAGCAAGAAGCTTTTGATAATACTGTACAGGGTGTGGTTTTGAAACGGACTTTCTGATGGTTGCTGGCTCCACTGATCTCTTAATCCAAGAGAGCATTGCACCCTCTTTTCAGGCCTTTGAATCTTAGCCCCCCGTCTCTCTCTGTGCCTCTGTCCAGTTTCACATTCAGACCCTGTGCAGCTGAACACCTGGAGGTATGTCAGATCACTCGACCAAATCAGTTTCATTGCACTTTGCCACAAGGTGTAACAAAATGGGTAAAACTAGTGTTTGAAGAAAGTGAAAGTTGGCATGAAGCCCTTTTCAAGATATATCTTTAAGTAGCTAGCAACATTTCAAGTATGCCATAATACCAGTATAGCACGTAGCCTGTTCTTGCAGAATACATCTGTGCTGCAGCTGTACATTTTGTGTACATCAGCCAAAGCGATATAAGTGTTAACATTCCTCATGACAAAAGTAGCTATAACTTCAAGGGTCTCAAGTGTCTGTGTACTGCAATTACAGCCAAAGAATTACCCATCTATCCAGTACTCTTCAAAATTTTTCTCTTGAATAATAACTTAAATTGAAGAGCCCAAATGAGATTTTTGATATCCCACTTATTTCCCCAAAGTCTGCAGTTTCATTGTAGTCAGGTCAAATCCTACTTGCCTGGGGTAACTACTGGTAGGTAAAACACTAGATTTTTCCAAATCTGTGTGTCTTGTTTGAGTGGTAAATGCATATAGCTGTTTTGCAACGTTATCTGCTTCCGTTAGTTCATTTTCAGTAAGAAATGAGTGTGTTGGCTTACTTCCAAAAGCAAAATACATTTTAAAAGACCTTGTAGAGATTTGCCTCCCTAAGGAAGCTTGCATCTCAACATGTCGGAGGTGAAAGATACTCAATTACCCTGGGAGAGACTGCATTTTATGTTGCCCAGAGAGGCCTCTGCGGTCCTCTGGTTTAAAACAGTGGTTGCGAAGCAAACTGCCCGTGGCAAGTGTTTCTGTTATTCGGCCAGGGGCAGTATTACACAGAAGTGGTCAAAGAATGTAAACAACTGAGATCACGAGGAATGCTGAGGCAGGCTATGGTTAAGAAAAACTGAAATAATTAGGAGTTTCATTTAAGCTTTGAGCTTTGCTTTTAGATAAAGTGCCTTTTTCTGTTTCCCTTTTATTTAAATGTGTATATAAATTAAAAAAATACATAATGACAGTTAAACTAGAAGAAACACTAGGACTTGAGTTTCAGAAATACTCAAATACAAAAACGTGTGCACTTTGCTTAATCTGCATTATGAAACTATTCAGATTACTTGTGCGAGTCAGTTTGTACTCATTAAAGTAGGCAGCCATATATTTTGTCACTTCATATAATCACAGGATTTTCAAGCATTGTAATTGCAATTTGTAACTGTAATTTGAAATTTAGTCCCTTGAATGACTGTGAGTTTATAAGGTTTGATGTAAGGATAGAAAAAGGGAAGTTAAGCTCTCATATTTTATGCTTCACTAATTTATATCTTCTTGTAATATTAAGATGTGATGCAGAGAATCATATGTTTCATTATTATATAGTTTAGTAGTGGCAGGAGGGTAGCTGTAAGAGACTTGTTTCCTCCCAGTTGTTTCTCAATACCTACATCCAGGCTGCAGCCATATTCTCACCTGTTACGTGGTTATTTGAGGGATGGCCACTGGCTTACTCGGTAACAGTATTCCTCTGCAGAAGCTGTTGCCAGCAGTGGTCGTTCTTTTCCCTCAGTACAAAAATTCCTCCACTATCTCCTGGCCTACAGCCGCCCTCTGTTACTAGAAGTGAAAAGGAGCCTGGCTAGACAACAAACGCAGCATTCGGGATTCTTCCGAAAACATGAATCCATTTCACTATGTTACGTGTATTTGCGTTGTCAAGCAAAGAATTTTGATTTCTATCACCATGTTTGACAAAAAGACTTAAAATGTGACTTGTGAGTTATGAAAATTACAACTTGGCCATATCCCACTAACTAGAAACTTTCCCCATGTCCTGAAATAGCAAACTGGAATACAAGCCCTCCACATGTTGTTGCAGGAAGACTGCTAAAAGAGTAGATATTTCTAAGGTATGGAAACCTGGGCTCAATACCCAGTTTGCCAGAGCTGCTGCATTGCTCTGGGCAACATTTCTGAGTTCTGCATTTGTGACTTATTGGAAGGATATATTCGTATCTGAATACTGATGTGGGGCTAAATTAATTTGAGCAAATGTAACTTTGGAAAATGAGACCTACCTTATCACTGCAGTATAACTTAAGAATTAACCGGTCTGTGGGTCATAATTTTCAGGGGTGAGAGAAAAGGAGAAAAAGCACAATTTTCTATCTCTTCATAAACACCCTTGTTCATTCACCTCTGAACATAACTGCAGCAGTGTTCATCATCACCTGTGCTACGCTGGGTAGAAACGATAGGTTTCCTTACATCGGCATTGTTTTCTAATACAGAAGTGCTGTAGGTCTCTGGTTGAAAGTAGGTGCCCGCAAGACTGAGGCACTGCACTGAGCACTGGTCCTGTGCCAAGGAACTTAGTCTAAACAAATCAAGTGAACAAGCGTGGAAGGAAGCAAGTGTATTTATTTGTTTTGCACATAAAAAGGGAGAGTTGGAAATTTCTGCTCAGTACATCATTGAGCTCACTGCCCTGGATTCCAGTGTGAGCTGAGAGCTTGCTGTTTCAGTTTTATTTGGGTTATATACCGATTACCTTAATCCTCTGCACTTTTGGCTCCTATCATGGCATATCCAAGAAGCCTACAAAAAATAACCTGGCTTCAAGCACTCACTTGAGAGAAATTGTGGAAAAGGGTAAATGTTATAAACGCAAAACTCCTCTGCCCTGAACATAATGTTACCCCATTACCATTAAGGTTGTAGGATCATGTCACTTCATCTATTCACCAAAGCAGTGATTAGTCATGGGAGCGATGCGGGTCATGGCGTATTTCAGTACTGTTAATGTCTTTGTAATTCTGTTGACGTCTAACCTGTTATCCTAGGACTTACCAATGTCTTCGCCTGGATTAGACAGACCTCCTGGAAATTTCCATGCATTTATAGTCTGTATTGGAGGAAATAAATATTAATGAAGTATGCAGCCTGTGTTGTACTCTCTAATATGAAGGAGACAATTAACGTGCCTTTTTTTGGTTGAAGTTGCAGTATTGCAATTACTTTTACAAACATCAGTATGGCTTTAAGTAGGAACTTCTCTGTTCTTGCTAATGTGATGATCAGAGGTATCTATAGTCTGTATGAGATATTGGAACAAAACATCTACTGATTGAAAATAACAAACTGTCTTAACAGTCATTAGACAACGTTGCTGCTAGATAACTAGATAGAGTAGTTGAATATTAAAAAAAGCTGCTATAGACTATATAATCTTATATTTAATCATTAATGTATTTCATTTCCATGGTTTTGGCTTTTAAAAAATGTATATATATTTAATCTTACAAACAGGTATTATGATTGTAGTACTGTTCTATACTGCACTGGCTTTAAGATGACTTCGTGTGTCTGTAATAACCATTTAGCGTAACTTGTTGTTCGTTTTCACAGAATACAAAAACTGAGGCCTTGTGTGTGATTTATATATAGAAGCATTTATTGAATTGCAATAAAGTTCAGTACTTCAAACAGAATGTGACGTGCGGACTTGGTGCTGTTATTGATACTGATAAAGGAGTCCCAGTTCCTACATCTCTTGCAAATGCATGAAGATTTACAGGCCTTACCTTTACATCTATGTACTACTATTTTTATTTCTTTCCTTATTAAAAGTTTATGTAGGAAGAAGTTAACCTTCAACTAGAAATTAATGCAGTAAAAAGGTACACTGGCAAAAAAAAGGTAGCTTTTCTTGTACATGCAGCAGAGAGAAGGAAGTCGCATGCTTTCCAGTGATTTGAAACCCCACCGACTACATTGGAAAATGTTGTTTTTGGTGTTTTTTTTCTGGGCACTCTTAAAGGGCTTGGATAGGAATTTAAAGTAATAGATGAAAAATAGTGCAGATGGAAAATACATATATTTGCCTATTGGCTTTCAGATTTGCTTTCAGTTCCTGGAAATCTTTGTGTGCTGTGGAATTGTCCTTTCATGATTAAACCCAAACTGCTCTTAAAATTCCACTAGCAGTTTTTTGGTTTTTTTTAAGCTTTCAGAACATCATTTGTATTAAAAGTCACCATTTCAGGGAAACTGTTCATTTCGTGGGGAAGGAGAAGGGAGAGGAGTGGTGGAACTGACGGTGGGAAACAACCGTCTGAGCCAATTTGCTTGTACCGAGATATTTTATTTGCTCACTGCACAAGAAATGTGTGGGTATTGATACACTTCAGTTTCTATACTTGATTTTATCCAGTCAATAAAAGACAGCTGTAAAGAGGGGAGTCAGAAACAATCACTTTTTTCTTTTCACCTTCCTCACTCGCTGTGCTGTCAGCTTTGCTCTGGAAAGGTACCCTGAAATAGTTGACCTGACCCATCCCACTTTTCAGAATGCACTGGAGGGAAGAGCGGTGCCAGACCGGTCCTCTTGTGTTTTGGGGCCAGAGGCTACGGAGGTAATGCCTGGCGAGTACGGAATTGGACCTAGAACCTGAACAGAGCATCGGATGTCTCACTGTAACACTGCATAGAGATGTCTGCACTTAAAATGGCTGTGGGTGAGCTTTAGCAAAACCACAGCGTGAAGAAGTTAAACCTTGAGCCTCCCGGGCTTAGGAAACTACTGTTTCCTTCTGAATATGCAGAATGTGCAATTTCCATTTTTGAGACCTGCTTAAGATACTTACTAAAAGGTAACCATGCAGTTTTATAATTTCTGTGTGCATAAAAAGAAAAATAAAGGTAGCATTTCTGAAGTTTACAACGTGCTGTTCTGTTCCTGGAGACTCTCTAGAACTGGAACCACTGCCGGAGCCTATAGTTTGCATGCTGGATTTATGCTTTAAATGGTAATTACTGAATGTAGGCCTGAAGATCCTGCTATAGAGGAGTCCTTGAATTTTTACTTTATGGCAAGTAAAAATATAAAATTAATAGTTTAGGGGAAAGAAGAAAAGGGTGTTTCTCTTCTTCTGAACTCTTGCCTTAGAAATTCAACATGCTGTATGATTGAATCTGCCTAGGAAAGCACCCTTTCATTGAAGTTCATTAGCTGTGTTGTTACCAATGAACTGAAGTGATGGTTTGGGTCCTGAGAAGAAATCTCTTAGTAGCTGGTTCAGGAAAAAGACAGAAAAATGTAGCCAGTGAGATTCTGGCATAGTTTTAACCATATAAAATGAAAATGATGCATCTAAGTATACTTCAGTCTACGTATGTAAGTTTTGATTGTTACCATGTTAAAATTGCAGTTAATCTCGCTGTACTAGGGACACTTTAATTTGCAAATGAAAGCATAATGGAAGCTAAGTATATTTTACATGGAAGAGCGAGCTAGTGGGCTTTCTGCACTTGCTGTATTACAACCTAGGTTAGCCTGATGGAGGCTGGAAGACGTTACCAGTGATGGATGCTTGGTTACCTCAAGCCACATCACACGACCCACCATCACCACACTCATGCTCTCTGGTTTGGCATTCTCGGTAGCGAGGTCGAGCACTTCACTTTGTGAGAAATTAATGATCTTTACACCTGCTGTACTAAGCAGTCACCAGGTCATGGCCAACCATGTTACCACTTATTTAAAGCCACAGATATGCCTGGAATTTTTGAAAACAAACAAAAATCATAAGTCTTCTCCCAAAATCTGCTCTGAGCCATGGGGGTTTTCCAGAGGATCCAAACACAAGATCAGGGACTCTTGGGTCAGCTACAGGAGAAAGCGGAAAACTCAAAACAGAAAGGGTACTTAGTTCCGCTGATTCAATCACCAGTTATAATTAACAATAAAGCCGTTGATTTTCAAAGTCTATTTTTCTTTTTCCTTCAAATGCAATACAGCAATCTGCTGACAGATGTGTTCCAAGACACTCATAAAAGGAAGTAACTTTTAACGATCACAATTTTGGACTGGAATAAAAATGTCTTTGTTTTATACTACAGAGTAGGCATATCTAGATGAACTTCTCTATTTTATAATCCTATAACAAACTTACCCTATTTCTGTCTTGTACGACCAACACCTTTCCAGTGCTTTCATCTAGAACAGCACCTAGCAGAGAGATAATATTGAAAAAGATTAAGTGTTAGACAACTACGTTCAGTCTTAACAACCATAATTTAATATGTTTTGATAAAGCATGACAAACTCCTAATGATACTCGGTTTACAGTTAGCAAGATTTGTATGGATGAGTCGGAGAAAGTGGTTTGTTGGTGGAAGGCTGATATTCAATAAAATACTAAAAAAGGTTAAGTGTTCTGTACAAAAATTCAAAGTTAGCAGTACCAAGATAAATACATCCTACATATCAGTCCCAGATTAGACAAGAAATGAAAGGAATAATTTGCTTGTGTTACATTAGGAGAACTAAAGAATGCAAGATCAAGATGTCATCCAAATAATCGAGCAAAGCTGCTTGCTTCAGCAGAGACGTGCCTGTAGTCTTGCTCAAATAACAGAAATTTTTCCAGTGACTCTGTCCGAGTAGCCACAATGGGTAAGAACTTTTCTCTAGTGAAATTCATTACAAAAGTCCCTCCTGCTGTAGTGAAGATTTGAGTGTTTTCTGGTTAATACACACAAGGTTTAGTACTTGGTAGGCTGACTGTACTGATAATGTTCAACTGGTTGACTATCTATGAACTCTTACTGTACTACCCAGCTAACAACTTGTGATAGGAACTGCGCAGTAATCTGAGTCAACTCGTTAATCAAAATGCACTGCTTCCAAGTGGAAAAGTGACATTTTCACTTGGCTAAAAAAAATAGATCAGGATGCATGACTGAAAAGTTCAGCTTTTCCTTGTGTCCTCATGCTCAGCCCATGACTTTCTGCCACAGATTACAAGTTTTCCTACTTTTTAAACCCCAAGTGCTTTCTTGTTTAATCATCATGTCACACTCATTGGTCATACTTTAAAAACGTCTTCCCTTTAAAACAGGTCTTTTTATCAGCTTTTCAAGTGCGCTGCAGTGAGCAGAATGAGTACTGTGGTGCCGCTTACCAGGCTCTTTTCCACATCAGTCATGCATGGGTTTTAAATTAGTAGTTCACGATAAAAAAATGCTTGTCATTTTACAGCAAGAGGAAGAGTATATGGCCAGATCTGTGATGATATATGCATTTAAAATGCTATGGGGAAGTATTTCCATGGAAGGGATGAGTGTCCAGCTCAAAACATCCTCTGTTTTTTAATAATACATGGCAGACTTATGTGTAGGAGGAATATTTAAAAGATGAAATACCAATCTTCCTTCAAGATATGTCAAAGGACGTGCTTTAAGAGGGTAGTCACATATCTGCCTCCCCATAGCTTGTGACTTTATGCATTCCTCCTGTAAATATTTAGCAGTGTCCAGGTTCAAGTACTGTACTGATTAAAAAAGGGAACAAAAGGAAAGCAAGAGCAACTTTGATGCATGCTGTGATTACAGGGATTATTTTCTAGAAAAGCCATTCTTCAGCCAAATGATTTGCTGAGACCAGGGAGGACTGCCGAAGAGAGGAAAACTGCAGTTTGAATCAAACAGAAAGAACGTTTTCTCTCCTCTGTTCCCCAGAAATCGATGCCTGTGAATGTAATTTTTGGCAGTGAAATTCTGTGAGATGTCCAGATTCTCTGCTAGGTGATACCTAAATCCAAAGCAAGAAGAAAGGAAAAACACTAACAGGATTTGCTGTCTGGTCTCGTTTTCCCATGTGTAACTCAGGAGTCCCTCTGCTGAAGCTCGCCGGGCCGCACCTGGTTAGTATCAGTGAGATCAGAGCTTGGCTGCAGGCTCTGAACGCTGGTTTTAAAAACTCTCCCTCTTGCTACAAATGTGGTACCTGGAGCTTTAAATCATCCAACGCCAGGATGACTTTCTGGAAAGGTTTACACTTGTAACCTAACCAACTAATCGCTATTGCAACACTGCTGTGTTTTGAATGTTCTCTTTTGAGAAATAGGTAAGGGAATTAATTTAAAAAAAAACCCAGACCCCTTAGCCAATTCCAGACAATGAGTAATGGAGGGGAAAAATATCTTCATTCTACCCGTTTTATTTATGACTGATGTAAAAGTGTATGAAAAGATGTTCAGTGTTGAAAAGCATTTGTCATCCATGTAATGAGCGCACATGTGACTGCTTGCATTGTAAACATCAGCAGACAGAAATAGTTGTAAAACAACTTGGGAATCACTTTTGATTCCTCGGACCACCATTACCTATCTAACTCCATCTTCCTGTGCAGTTGGACATTTATGGAGCCGCTCATTTTACACATTTCCTTAAGTGACAGGACTGGCCAAGGCTGATGATCGTGCGTGTGTATGCGTGTGTGGAGACCCTTCTCGCTCTTCAACTTCAATGACTTGTTTAAACAACTAGACTAACGTAGGTAACAATGAAAATAACAGCCACGTTGTAAGGCTTATACTACATGGGAGGGAGAAGAGAATGACTTTTACTTTTCTTCCTCAACTTGTCTTCCTATGCCATTGTTATGTGGCATATTTACAAACATGTCACTTTCTGGATGGCAGACCACTTCCTCCTAGGAGGTAGAGGATTTTGGAAATGCTTTTCAAAAACATCTTAATCATTTCATACACCAAAAGCTTTCCTGTACCTTTACATATTTGGAAAATCCTGCCGCCTACAAACGGATGCAGTTAAGTTAGTTGGAAGACACACCACATATTCCACTATTTCTAAACAATAATGGCCAAGCCCAATGAGTAACGTTTGCTACTCTCTGCTTGGCGACTCTGATCTAGTCTGGCAAAATATGACCTGACCTTGCTTATTCACACCTTTGTCATCACTTGGCTGGATGATGCTGAGGCACTAGCCCTGGCTGCGCAGCGTTCGCTGTGTGGGAAACTCCAGACAGGATCAAAAGCAGCTGCTGGTCTACTTGGCAATGCAGGCTCGCTACCTGTTGTCTGCTCCCTGTGCTGGCTTCCCGCAGGCTAGCAAACCACTCCCAACATCTCCGCTTTTTTAGGATGCACAAGGGACTAAGCCCTGTATTTAAGTGATTGGCCACAGCTTTGAGATGAAGACTCTCATAAGCAAATTTGCTTTTCTTTACCACAGAAACTTTCTAAAATACAGTTTTTTGTTCAGGAAATAAAAATGCCTAGGGTTTGGCACACACACTATAAATGCACATATTTAAGTAATTTAATATTTCAATAAAATTAATTAAAAATAGAATGAAGCCCTACCACTACCCAGGCTCTTCCTCCTGAAGTAGAAAGATAATGGAATAAACACATGCCAGGTGGTAGCCACACTGCTTAGTGTATTCTTGGGATGTGTTCCAAATCCACTGAGAGCGAGTGGAACCGAGGAAAAAAAAATATTGCATTCATTATGTCACACACACAAATCTGTTTGTTTACCCGCCCAAATGCCTTCTTTAGGTCTTTACCTCTTTTAAAGAAACTCCCAATAATGAATAAAAATGTACAGGTTTGAAAAGCGGTAGCAAAGAATACATACATTATTTGTTGTGCAATTTTTAAATCTGTGCGATAAACTGTGAAATCCATATACCTGCATTTATGAATTTTTTTCTTTCCTCAAAGTTTTTTCCTACTTGCAGAGTGCGAAGTGTTTCTCTCAAACTACAACTGCAAATTATGCTCTGAAAGTGCATTTTTTGTATTTTCAAATGTTTGAGAGTTTTTCAGAGTTACGGGTTTTCTTATATTAAGTCCCTCCTGATAACCATCAGGGTCACAACACATCTATTACATTATTTTCTTTTAAATAGCACTTTCAGCTATGCAAAACCTACTTCAGAAAAATCCCCTTTCAGTTAGTCATGTTTCCTCAAACATGCAAGTTTTAACCGTAAGGAGTAACACAGTGCTTTTGCTAGGAGAATGCATTATCTTACTCGAGTTTAATGCCACATATTTTAATGGTGAGGTTTTCATACCTCAGGAAAACATGCTCTAACATGTCCATTGAAAAAATCCAAGCCTGTCTTCAGCTTCCACCCTGCCCTCTGCTGGCTTTGTAAATGAAAACTCCAACCGCCGATAGCAGCAGCACTGTTTTGCAATTGAAGGCTTTGTTTTTCCAAAATTTACTTTCACCTGACCTGCTGCTACATAGAATAATCCAGCTTTTATGAGTCCTTCCTAACCAGATTTTTCAAATTGCTGTTTATGGGTCTTAACACCACTTGGTGAAGAATTAGTGTCCCACACAGTCCCTGCAAGCCAAGGACAAACAAGTCAAGCTTGTAACGGGAGAGATTTACTGTCCTTCTGCCATAACTGCCGAGGGTTGTATAGTCTTTACCAGTACATGAGGGGTCCAAACCAACCTCCAGATTACAGGAGATTACTGAGCGATGGGACACATAATTGCAGATCTGTGGAAGGCTGCTGAGAGAGAGGGCAAAAACATTCAAATTTGGTGAAGCTGAGTTCAAGTTGACTGTATTTTTGGCTCACCATCAGTTCCTTGTACTGTGCTGTATAAAAAAATAAATAAATCGGAAAACTATCTTATCTAGTTCCTTAGGAATTTCCTCAGTTTTTAGAGCAACTCCTTTCCAACTGTGGTTGTGGGAGGTCTAGATGGATAAGAGTATGGTGTTCAGATGTTTGTTTGTAACATACACTTGTCTGGGTTATGGACTTCTAGGCACAGCTTAGAGCAGCTTTTAGACTGTTGCAATTGAGGCTAACAGTTGTGCTAGCTCCTGAGCAATCCCTGTTGGGTCAAGTCTGCCCCATCTACAGACCTTAACCTGAGTGTAGTTTAGGCAGGTGCATACATCAAGCATCTACAGTAAGGACAGGGAGCAGAGAAGGGATTTTTTCTAAGAAATTTGTAGTTACTTTTTCACTTTTAAAAACCTGCTTAAACCTTGAAATCCTACCTCTCTCACTTGCAAGGTGAAAGCCAAGATGCGTTTCTCAAAATGGCGTTTGATAAAAACAATATTCGTGAGTTAAATTTTAAAGCTCCAGGACCACATTTTCTTCTCCCCGAGCTGTTTACAATTTTCTCAAACTGGAATTCTTTTGAGAAACCCCCTCTCTTCACTGGCCTGCTCTTAGCAACACGCACCGGTGCACAGGCGCATTCACGAATGACACATTTCACTCCGTAAAGTCAGCCCAACAGTAAGCCGCTGGTTTCCACGCGGCGGTTGTGGAGAGAACCAGTCGATTTCCTACGGAACTTGGTCCCAAGGGCTCCTTCGAAAGGCCCTTTTGCGGCCGCAACCGCTTTTGTGACTAACCTGCAACTCCCAGCTGGTGGCTGGCGTACCCCGGCAGCCTGCTGGGCCCTTCTCCCAGCCACAACGTCAAGGTGGACGCACCCTGCTCGGCGTGGTGGAAGGTGAAGCCTTGCGAAGCGGCGGCCGCCGCAAACCCGCTCTGGAGGATGGGGACGCGCAGCCAGGCGGCGACGCGGCCTTCCTCCCGCCACCGGGCCACCGCGTCTGCGAGAGAGACACCGAGGGTAAGGGCCGCCGCCGCCGGGATTAAGGCGTGAAACTCTGTATTTTTACTTCGTTTACCTCAGGGTCAAACTACCGTTGGTGTGAGGAACCTGTCAGCAGCGACCGCAGAGCGGGCACCGCCACCTCGCCGTTTTACGCGCTACGGTTTGGCGTTTACACAGAAAAACGGCGGCCTTCACCTTAGCCTCTGCCCTGAGGCGCAGGGAAACGGGTCTTTGCTCCCTTCTGCCGACGCCCTCCACCACAGGGCCGCGGCTGCCGTGCGTGTGTGTCTGTGGGGAGGCCGGCGACCGCCGCCCGCCCCGCGCCGCGGTAGGCGGCTGAGAGGAGCCCACTCACGGGACCAGGCGCCACGGGGGG